CGAGGACTGCCTTTAAATAAATGTGGCCTGCACCTACGGACCTGAACAGGCTGCTCTCTAGTTGTTCAAACCAATCAGGCAAACTCCACCTCATAATAAGCCCACCACAGCAACATGAAGTTTTTCAAACTGACGGCCACAGTGAGGTTATTGGCCTCATTCTCCCCTATCCCGATTGCAAATCCTGGAATTTCTACATCACATCTGAACAGTATTATGGGATCACATATGTACAAGCGCACATGTTGTACAAGCAGTTGAGTATTCAGCCTAAAATGTTAGTTTGTGCCATAAATCAAACATCTTTACCTCATTATTAATTTGATGCATATTTTGGTAATTATGAGCATGCTTTAAACAAAAACAATATTGTGCATGGTAAGCTTTACAAGATTAAACAAACCACATTGCACTTCTAACTCTCTTTTTGCCATTGTTATTTTGGAAAGTTTTGTAAAACACTAAAATGATATGGCAAAACTCAGAAGTAACCTATAACTTTCACTGCTACCATATAAAAACTCAAGAGTTAAACAGTGAAATAAAATAGTGTTTTATTTAAGCAGACTTAAACAATAACTTTGTGGTTTACTTCACACTGTTAAACATATGCCCAATCCCGTATCTTCAAAGTATAAAGCCATTCTGTAAATTGATTTCCAAATGTTTAAGTACTGTCTAATTATAAGAACTGTGCTTGCTTCTTTTTTCTTTTTAATTCTCGTGTCTTGTTTTGGGGATTATTGACCAAAGATCAATAACTTGTTTCAGATTAGAGGACTGAAGCTGAAATTCAAATTTAATTACAAATATGTTCTTATTTAAGGAATTATGGGTCTGCTAACATTGAGTGTACAAAAAGAATGACTAATACATTTTCAACACAATCATCCCCTCACCCCCATGTACACAGTTTTTCTGTTGCTTTCACAGTCCAATATTGGGTCTATCAGCAATACTAAAATAGACAAATCAACTGACAGAGACTGGTATTTTCTGGATTTTACTTGGGAAGCAGAAGATCAGACAGCCACATTTACTTTATTCACTTGAATAAAAGGCTTTTTTTCTCAAAAGTTAAAACGGTGGTGGACAGTAATGACATCTTTGAGTTGCTGAAAATTAAGTAATGTAAGCAGACACGTTCTGCCTAAACTACTACTGTGTAGAAGGCATTTTCTTGTTGGATAAATATGGTAAGCTATACTGATCCATAATGCAAAAGTAGGCATAAACATAACAAATAAATTAACTGCCTTATTAATTGCATTTACATTCTGTCTTGAGACTACTCCCACAGTGCTTCTAATAATTTGCTAATTAAGCTCTTCTAAAAACATATTAGTAAATTTTTCCAGTTAATTCCAAGAACAATCGCAGAGTATAAAAAAGGAAAGGATCTTGTAGATCTTACAGATTAAAAGACTAGCAGATTCATTGTCGCTTCACATTTTTATAAAGTGGAGTCTATTGCATCAAAACTGGTGTTCTACAATGATGGATCACTATCTCATAACTATTTGGAGGTTCCTTACAGAAAGAAAACAAGATCTCAAGAAATGATGAAAGGAAGCAAGAAAACATCCTAAACAAAATAAGTAATTTTAGTTATTTTTAGGAAGCAACTATTCGGTTGCTGCAATTGAAAAATCAAACTTGGGGAATCTGAATGGCTTTTGCAATTCAGAATATGCTACTCAAATTTCAAATGTACAAAATTCAATGAACAGTATTTCATATGGAATAGGACACCTGTACTTTAGCACGGCTTGTAGAGTTTCAGTAAGTGGGAGATAATCACAAAAGACTAAAGAATAAGTATGTGATATGCTTTGGATGCAATTATTGTATCACTCATCTAAAATACTGAAATAAGTAAGGGTTTTTTTTAAGAACAGTAAAAAAAAAACAGAAAAGGAAGCTCTTTAAGATTTTGCCCCTTTTACTTTAATGAAACCAGATTGCAACCAAAAACCACAATCTTGAAAGTTACTTTAGGTATGCCCAAAGATTTTCATATACCTAACAAATATCTGCTCTCACCCCTATGGAGATCCAAATATGATATTGCGAACAATTTTTGCTATGCAGCAAAAGAGTTGCTATTCAGGAAATACTGGTCTTAAAACCCTGCTGGGCAGACTGAACTAGTCAATCTGTTCTTGGTTTGTGGCTGTGTTCTATTTCTAGGAAATCAGTATCTGAAGACAAAGATGAAAATGAAAACCTTCAAAACTAACAGAAATTTTTTTTTGTAACTAACAGAAACCAACATACTTGATGCAGTTATTTAAGCTTTAAAAAAAATGTGCATTCACAGTGTATTTTACAGGTACAACATAGACTTTGGATTTTTTCAATTATCAGACTGAGCCTAAGATCATACATATTGGAGTTAGTCCTACTGAACTGTATTTTGCTATTACAAAACCAACTTTGCATTCATTCAAAAGTCTAGTGATCTCAATGGGACTTAATGAATGCCAACTACTTCTCAGACTCAAAAGTCTAAGAGAAACAGCAACTGAACTGGATAAAGGTACTCCAGCTCAGATTCAAGAGAAAATATTTCATGGTACTTTGAAAGGGGATTAATTGGCCTAGAAAAATATATTTTCATGTTTTTTTGCAGAAACCTGCTCTTGACCTACATAACAAGTGGAGAAATTTCAATATTTTATAATATACTTCTTAGAAAATGGCACATCAATCAGCAAAAAAGTATAAACTCTCTTACCTAGCCCTATCCAAGATTCCTGGAAAAAAGGCTGTGGAGGTTGCAGAGACTGATATTGGGAGGGTCCTTAAAACCATGGTAGATAAAAGCCAAACTCCATTCCTCCATAAGACAATCATTACCTGTTGCTAATTAAAACATAGTTACATCAGGAAGACATGTATTCAAGGATGCTCCTTGTTCTTCTGATTTTGTGCCCAAAGGAGACTAGAATTCAGTCTCCCAGTTTCTATTCTGATGTTTTAACCACTATTGTCGAACTGGCTCTTATGAGAAGAGTCTAGAAGTACTTACAAAAGCTTAGCATGTGAGAAAATGCTGAGTAAGTTCATTTTATCTAGGCCTTCAAGATACATACACATACAATGAATTCCAAGCTGTGTTAACATTTTACAAGCGACATAAATGCAAGAAGTAAACTACAGAAGGCCAGGAATGTCCAGATTCCAAAGAAACCCTTCAGGATATCATCACGACCACATTCACAACTGCCTTCACCATTGGTTCACTAGCCTCCATTCACACATGCAATCCTCTATATACTTACAGCAGTAGAACTCAGGAAACATTAGCAATAAATAAAATAATGGGAAATGGAGTACAAGTAGTACAGGTGTGTAAGACAACACTGAAAATCTGGAAAGAGCCAAAGGCTGAAGTTAATTGTTTTTGCTTTATAGCTGCAATTAACACAATTTGCATCTGATTTAATACAGCAAACAGCAAATGCTAGGCTGGAAGACATGGATCACACTTGAACTGCAACATCTTTTTGCTATAGTTTATCCTAAAGGAACGGGCATTATTCCAGTTTTTCAGGACTTTTAATAAGCGAATTATCTGAACTCCTAGAAGCATAACATCTGTTCTTTAAAAGCCAAATGATCCGAGAAGCAGAATGAATTTATTTCAAACAAAACAACTGCTTATCTGGTCTGGCATTCTACCTACCTTCTGAAATTCCTATGCTATGGATTTTTTTTGAAAAAGTTAGAAGCTATAAAACAGTTTCTTCCATTTTTTTGCATGTAGATTTATTATAAAGAAAAACGCACATTAGATGAAATATATTTGTATGCTTTTTAAAATTGCAATTACCTAAATATTCCCCTATATTTTAGTTAAGCTGCACAGGTGAAATGTATTCTCCCTCCATCAGGCACAATAGATAAGAAATGACAGGTTAAAGGCACATTCATTATGTTTTTCATCACAAACTTTTACCACTTTCCAATATCTCACCCCAATTTGTAGGGATGCTCAGATCCATAAACAATAATTAGAGAAAGGAACAGAGCAGTTTAAAGCGTTTTTGCTCCAATTCTTTTCTAACAATCTCATTTGATTTTATTAAATACCCTCAAAACCAAAGGCTTTGGAAGAAATCTTCCTTTCTTTAAACTGGGGATGGGATGACTCCTACTTATATTACTGACTCCAGATCTCCCCCTCCCCCGCCCCCCCCTCCCAACTCTTGCAAAGGAAAAGCAGGTACAATATTAGGGATGTCAGCACCTTAAAAATAACAAACTCATTTTCCATCCTAGCAATAAAGTTTTATTAAAATTGTTCATTAATGCTTCATATGTAGCAAGAATGCATAGATCCCAAAATATACATACGTCTTTTTCCTTATAGAAATAGATCATTCTTTATAATAAAAAAAACAGTAGGAACATCTTTAACAGATTACTCAATCCATGACTGACAGTTACATGAGGTTGCATCATGTATAGCTGGTGTTCCCAGCCATGTTTAAAAGATTGCATCATTCTGAACTCTCTTCTCTCCTTTACGTTATATATATATATATCTTTTAATTTAAATAACACTAAGCACTCAAACTTTCCCCCCCACCCAAACAAAAAAAAAAACCCTTTGCAAAGACAATCATATTGGATATTAATTAAATGGCTTCTTATGTTGAGTTTGGTATCGGCTTTTTTTTTTTTCTTAGAAAAAAATAATGAAGTTGAAAAACTACGGATTCCTCCAAGAAGTCGCGCAGAGATCAATAGACACCGGCCAGAGAACTCCCCCCGCCAGCCGAAGGAGTCGTACCGCAAGAAGCTTATGGCGAAAGGTTTCTCCCATCATCAGAGTGTGAATTAAAGGCCAAAAATATAATTTATATATATTTTTATATATTTATGCAAACCCCTCGGGACTATTTCCACCCCCTCCGACCCGTGCTAGTCCTGAAAAGAAGGGCAGATGCGCCCACTAGATTCCGCCCTCTCCCCCCCCCCCTCACACACATACACACCGCTTCATTCCTTCCCGGAAGCCTCCCCAACCCTCCCGCCTGCCCAAACCACAGCGTTGTTTCCAGCGGCGTCCAGCTGTTCGGGGTCAACGGGGAGGGGAAAGGCTAGCAATGTCCGGAGGAGGCCAAAAGCGGCTCGGGCAGCTGTTTGAACAAGTTCCTGAGGGTGCTGAGTTCCCGGGACAGCTGCTCGACTTTCTTTTGGAGCCTCTCGTTCTCGGCCGTCAGTTCCAAGACTTTGTGCTGCGTCTCCAGATTGCGCATCTTGGCTTTGTCGCGGCTCTTGCGCACGGCGATGTTGTTCCTCTCGCGGCGGATCTTGTACTCGTCGCTGTGCTTGTCCACGCTCTTCTTGGACTTGTTCTTGCCGCTGCCGCCGCCGCCGGGGCCTGCCGGGTAAACGCCGCCGCCACCACTTCCTCCTCCGACCGACGCGGATTTCGAGGAATCGGACGGGTTCGGGGTGCCGGGAGGGCTGGAGGACGAAGAGGTGGAGAGGTTCCCGCTGCTCCCGCTCGGCACGGACTGGTAGCCCAAATAGGAGCGGACGGTGCTGCCGTAAGGCGAGGACATTCCCCCCAGGCCGGGCCCTGCTCCTCCTCCGCCGCCGCCGCCTTCTTCCTTGCGGGCCCCTTTGCAAGAATCCAAGTGCTCGAAGACCGGCTCCACTTTGGTCTCCACCATCTGCGGCGGGAAGCAGCCCAGCAGCGACCCGGCTTTATGGCTCTGTCCGACGCCCGGGTGGTGGCTGTGTCTGCTTAGGCTGATGTAAGCGTAGTCGGGGTGCTTCTTCCCGCCGCCTTTATAGTCCTGCTCGGAGAAGAGATCGGAGAGGAAATCTTGGCCGCTGCTCCCGCCGCTGCTGCAAACAGGCTCAAAGTTGCCCCCTGCTGCCGTGGAAGGAGGCGGCGGCTGCTGTTGCTGCGGCGGCGGCGGCTGCTGCTGTTGCTGCGATGCTAAAGGGTCCAGGTAAGGGCTGAAGTCGATGGCTCTCTCGTGATCCCCCACGGTGAGCTCGGTCATGGAGCGGGCCCCCGCCGCCCGGGGGTGCAGCTTGTTCAGAGCAGCCAGACAGTCCGCCTCGTAATAGAAGTTAGCCACTTCCATGGATTTAAAGGCCGCGGGCTGAAGGGGGTGGCATGCCTGATCCCAGGCTACCAGGCGTTGCATGAAAGCAAAAGGAGGGGAGCGGGGGGGCAAAAGGGGAACCTGGTCCACCGGCGGCCCCCCTCCAATGCCTCCAGAGCGGGAGGGCGGAGACGTTGCAAGCGCGGACCGAAGAGACGCCGGCAATTCCTTCTGCCTTCTCGCCGGCTCCTGGAAACTCCCGTCCGAAAGCAGGGGCTTGAAGGGGGGCTTGGGAGCCCCTTCTTCAAAAATCGCGAATTGCTGCTTCAGACGCCGCAGCTGCCGCTGCCGCTGCCGCTCGAGCGCTCTAGCCGCGCCTGGTTCCTCCGGACCATTGGACGGGAGGTGTCGTCCGTCGAGTCTTCTCCAAAAGTTCTCTCTTGACTTGGGAAAAAGTTCCTTTGCGCTCGGTTATTTATCGGGGCGGAGCAGCGCAAGCAAAGAGAGAGGGAGAGAGAAAGAAAGGAAGGAAGAAAAAGAAAATAAAAAGGTCATTCGCCGCCTGTTCTGCTGCGCGTTCCGGCGCACGGAGAAGGCTCGCTTGCTGGCTCCAGCCTCAAAGCAGGGCGTTCGCGAAGCGTCTGTGCCTCCCGGAGCCTTGGCCATTCATAACAAGGCGACACCGCGGCGCGATTCGGGGAGGAGGAGGAGGAGCAGAGGAGGTGGGAGCTGTGCTGGTTGGCCCGGGCTCGCCGGAGGGGAGGGGCGTCTTTGCAGCCGGGGCAAAGTTGGGTGTGCGTGTGATCTTTCTCCTTAGCCTAGCCCCAGCTGGGTTTTCCCAAACCCAGAATGGGTGATCCAGGCTCGGACGGACGGAAGGCTCTCGCATCCCGATCCCTTAGTTTCTGTGGCGTCCCGGTTTGGGCAGAGAAGTTTCTTTTTCGAGCCAAACGAATGGGCGGCTGGTTTGCGCTCCTGTTAAGAAGACGGGCCCTTCTCGCGCCGCGTTGTCCCAGCGCGCCCGGCGAGGCTTGGGTAGGATTGCCCTGTTCTAAACGTATTTACGGCGCAAGGAAGTCCCGTTGAGCGCAGCAACTCGCGTTTTGGCTCCAGTTACAAGAGTAGATCTTGTGTAGCGCCTCCGCGATCGTTTCTGGGTGGGGAGAAGTTTTCAACGAGAGTTGAGTGTACCGAGCTTAAGTTGCGTGGACAGATACCCCGCTCAGTGCGGCTGAAACCGAAGATCTGTGTTTGCGTGACACGGTTGACCATGATTAACACCGCGCATGACATAAGTTTCTTGACACTTTGAACCATAAATTATGTGGGCAGAGGTTTTGCACAATCTCTTAGGCTAACAATTCTTTGGGTGGCTTAGGACGCAGGGGTGTTCGTGAATATGTATATATTTGACTTACCCCTCGGATAAAACAGATTTCAAAACAAGCCACCATAAGATCGTACTCTTAGTGATTGCTAGCGTAGAAACAAGGTCTGGTAGGAAATAAACTTTGTGGATGTAGCAAATGAGGAAGAGTCGTTGCAAAGAAAGAAAGAAAAAAGAAAGAGAGAAGGAAGAAAGGATTTCCTGAGGCTTCCGGTTAACTAGTTTTGCACTCTAGACCCCTGGATTAACATACTCCCCACCCATCACCCCCCACTTCTGGGCACAGCATTTTGCCTTCTGCTATGAAAAAGAGGCAGATTTGGGTAAAGACCCTACACAGGTTTTTAGAATTGATCAGTGTGTGTCATTCCTTCAGCAAAAGGCATCCCGGCTGGGACATGTCCAGACATTCCACTTCTTAGGACCCAAGGATCAAGAGATGGCGTGGAACGCTGCACCCTTTCAAAAGGAGGTTTTCTTTGCTGATTACTATATATTTCTGGCACTTTTCTGGCTTGGAAAGCAGGACACTATTTGATTCCCCTTGGAAGGAGTTGCGTAGTGTAGCCCCTTTCCAGGCTAACAAATGTTATTAAAAAGCAGAAACTTTCATGAACTCCAGTTCACTTCAGCAGATGCACAGCTGCTGTGCACGAAGTCCCCAGCAGTGTGTGCCTTTCACTAAGGTGTTAGTTTGAAAGAAACTTGGCTACCTTAGACTAACACAGCTCTCCTCCTGCAGGGATTCCCGTAGGAAATCCAAAGTGCCCCAAAGCAGACCTGAGAGTTTTATCTCTTCCTCTTAAGCATCGGGAAGTGACTCGTCTTCTCTCCAAGATCACCCCGTCCTTTCCCCACAGGTCTCTTTTGCAGCTGTGAGTGTCGTCATTTGGTCTGGCATGAAAACAGTGCATTTTAAATGGCGTCCTTGGTCTGGCCCTGACATTCCTGGGCAAGTTTGAGTTCTCATTGTCTTCTGAAGGACCACAGTGAGCTTTAGACGTCATGAGCTCTGAGACTCTGTTTAGGTAAAAGATGCCCACCTTGGAAGCCAAATGTACGGTTCCCCTCATTGGGTCCCGTATTTACCTGCATCCAGTCATGACTCATTCCCAGAATAAAGGGCAAAAAAACCCGAAGCAATCGAAGCCAAACGTGTAATTAAAGAAAGCAGGAGTGTCTTTTGCCTTAGCAAGGACGATCCAGCACTGGGGAGCAAATGGTATTGCATCTGAGAATAACATGAAGCAATCCTGTGGTGTGAGGACACCGACGTTAAGCCAGAGGAACAGGTATTGCATTATGCGATTCAGCAGTCAACTCTTCATGAAGGCCCAAACCCCAGAGACTTTAAAAAGAGGAAGGATTAAAAAAAAATGGGTATATAGCCATGCATTCCTTTTGTTCTCTTTTCAAATTGATCTTATTTGTTGGAATAATTTTACAAAAGGAATTTAGGCTTTACTTATATAGCACGAAATGATCTTAAATTCATGGTTCTAGTTCTCCTTGTTAAAGGTGAAAACAAAATAAAAGCATTGCATGCATATTGTGTTTTTAAAAGATGAGGAATGGGGGTATAGTGATTCAAATCAGGCTTATATTTTGGTAAGTTTTGACCTTTGTAGAATCCGGTAGTATTCATTCTCCCATCATAGCAACATTAATTCTATTCATTAACAAAATTATATTATTTCTCCATAACAATGCAGAAAGAGCCAGTTTGACCTAGTGGCAAAGGCACCAGGCTAGAAAGCAGGAGACTGTGAATTCAAATCCTGACTTAGCCATGAAAGCCACTGGGTGACCTTGGGTCAGTCACTCTCTCTCTCTCAGCCCAATCCATCTCTGCAGGGTTGTTGTTGTGGGGAAAGTAGGAGGAGGAAAATTGTGTTGGATATGTTCGCTGCCTTATTTGCAAAAAATATAATAAAGGTGGTCTATAAATAAAGTTCTGCCGAGACCTCAAGAGCAGCAGTTCTTGTGATGTGTGTGTGTGTGTATATAGATACAGATATTTCTTTACAGGGAATGAGTGAAATTGACAAGGCTTTTTCCAAATTTTCTAATGGAGGGCCATGCCGAAATTGGTGAGACTTTCTTTCATCCTTCCAGTTTCACCAGAAAAAGGAAACTGACAAAATCACCATTGGGCAGATGCTTAGTATGATGCAAAAAAGTGGAGAAGCGGAGTAAAAAAAACCACATTGTGTCTGTTATTTCAGTGGTTAATGCAGCCTGCCTTATCCAAGTGACCTCCACATGTAAGACTACAACTCCCAACATTCCTAGATAATGTGATCAAAGACTCCATTGGCTAAGCATTCCAGGCTTTGCTGCCCACCCCCACCCCACCCCCAGCCCACCCCCATAACCAGAGCTTGAAGAAGGCTGGGATAAAAGATGAAACAAGCTATTTTGAATAAATACAATCCTACCAAACCTTTCAAAAGGTACACATTTCTTCACAGAGGCTGTTCAAACACAGAACACTTGAAAAAAAAATGTAGTTGCTAGCTTTCCTTTTCTTTCTCTTGTACATATATATATATACAGTTGTAGGTTAAAAGTTATTTGCTCAATTTTAGCAACTTCAACGTGTGTGGATTTGAACTCCCAGAATTCCCCAGCCAGCATACTGGCTGGGGAATTCTGGAACTTGAAGTCTATATATCTTGAAGTTGCCAAGATTGAGAAACAATGCACTAGATGGTAAATTGTGAAACTATATTAAAGATTAGGATTTCCATTATTCTTGCTACACACCCATCTCCCTTTATTTCCCCCCTAAAAGCTCCTCCTTCCATCATTAAACTATTGGCGTTTCAACCAGGCAGATTGGTGGCAGCGACTTTTTTTTTCAATCCTCAGCTCTTTTGCTGGAGATTCAGTTTAAATTCTTGTCCAAATCCAATGAGAGAATCTGCCTGGTTCCAGGCCTGGTTCCTCAGGAGCTAGTGCAGGGGTAGGCAACCTTGGCTCTTTTATGACTCGTGGACTTCAACTCCCAGAATTCCTGAGCCAGCATGGGTCAGCTTGGAAACTCTCCCTTTCCCCTCAGCATGGCTGGCTCAGGAATTCTGGGAGTTGAAGTCCACAAGTCATAAAAGAGCCAAGGTTGCCTACGCCTGAGCTAGTGCCTCATGTTCCCCAGCACCTCTCCGGGAGAACCAGACAAAACTCTCTTTTTCTGTAGATGCTGGTGATTTTATCCTGAGGTTAAATTAAAAGGCCTTATTTCCATGGTGTTCCCTTTCTCACAAAGTGCAGATGAGTAGAACTGGAACTGGAGTCTCCCACTCGGATGAAGTAGTGGGAAACCCAACTACCAATAAAATTCCCCCTTGGAGTGAAATGTACTTTTCTTACGCTATAATGACTCTTTATGACTACGTGCACTTCTTCCTTTTAGCTGGTGCAAAGAGCTGCTCTCCCAAACGTTGGCTTTGGAGATTGGGTAATGAGCAGACTTTTTCCGGTCCTGTTGGAGAGCCAACTAATTTTCATCAGGGACATCTAGTTTCAGACTTCCCCTTTCTGCCAGCTTCCCTAATCTTCTGCCTTGCCTGGCACCCTCTCTGCCCTTGCTGCCCTACCCTCTTACTTTCTGTGGCCTCTGGAACTTATGGATAGCAACAGCAGGAAGTGCTGGCAAGTGTAGCCAACAAAGCTTGAATCCCACTACATCCAAACTTGGAAGGACGGAGGTAATGACACCGCCCAGCAGT